CCCCAAGCATCGGTACCGCCCAGCCACCCCCGTCCGGTGAGAGTGGCGCCGAAATACCCCAAGATATGCCCCGCGATCGCCCCGAAACCGATGGCGGTGGCGGCGATGCCGAAAATGCCGTTTTCCCCGACGATATCAAAGCCGGCCGGCCTGTTGCTGGACCTGTTGGCACTGCTGTTGAACACGCTGAAACGGTGGGTGCTCCCGCCGCGCCCTCGCCCGGGGAGAAAGCCCACGGGCACCGATGAGAAACCTCAACCGAAAATGCTGCCGAAAAAGCGGGCGAAAGTGGTGAAAAAAGAGCCTGAAGACGACGCCAATATCTTCCTGCTGGCGCTGCTAAAGCTGCTGGCCACAACGACGGCAGCAACGTCGGCATCGTCGCTGGCGAGTGTGTCGCGGAAGCTGTCGGTAGCGACTACTCCCGCCACTCCCGACACTGCTTCCGACACCACCACCACCAAAATCACTACCACTACTAAAGCCACGGTCAAACTGGCACCGGAACCATCGTCAAAGGAGATCGCTGAGCTCAAACAACACTATCTCTCCAAATTGAAGGAACAGGAGCTCATACGCAACTATATCGAAGTGATCACTAACCAGATCACCGAGCTCAGTTTTGTGAAGCTGGGGATGATCACCTTTGAAGCGTTAAGGCCCCCGACCCCGGCTTCAGCGCCAACCCTTAAAGCGACTCCGGTAATGACCACTACAGCCCTGCTGACACTGCCGTCGCTGACCAATAAGCAGCACGCCGACCAGTTGGACCAGATCAACTCGATACAAGATTTAAACAAGTTTTTGGCCTACCTAAACCGGCTGCTGCTGATATTGAACCTGGCCACCAAGAGGCAGCCGCTGAAGCGCGAGGATCTGGAGCTGTGGGTCAACCACCAGATCAACCACTACCTCGAGCTCAGGGCTAAGTTCAAGCCGAAACAGGGGGCGATCGACGCCAAACTGCTGCTGCTGCGCCTGCTGTCGTCGCCGTTCGCCGCGGCGCTGGCAGTAGAGCTGCCGGCGCTGAAACCACTGGCGCTGATGCGCCAGATGCTGGTGGCGCTGCTGCCCCGGTTTCTCGATGACTTTGACTTCGACATGGGCCGGCCCCTGAGCGATATCGACTTGGTGCTTGATAATGATGTGGTCGACCGCATGATCCTCGAGACGGCGCTGGGCCCTAGTATCAGCGATATCCCCAACGAGATCGGCATATTGATGGCTGACGACGACTACGGCGTGAAAATTCACCTGGGAAGCTCAAAGGATGACGATCTGAGTGCGGCTAACGACAACGGTACCCGTCTGGTAACCTCCCTTACCCCTAAACGCCAGGGTAAATTCAACTGCGGCTTCTGCTCGCTGGACACCCCCTGCTTGTGTCTCGATACGGATATCGAGACGTGTGTCCCCAAATGAACTTATGAACGTGTATGTAACGATAATGAATGCGGCAAGAACGACAATAATAGGACATGAGAGGAGATGGTAAACAAGAACTAATGTGAAGTAAAACTCAGAGAACGGCTTAGTATATCTCTTGACCCTACATTGATTCTTTTGATTGATTTCCATAGACTTAAATAGAGAGCTAAAACATCGTCTCTATAACTGATGGGTTGATGCAACTGATAACAAGCATCCATTGAATGATAATCTAAAACCGGAGATTGCACTGGTGACTGTAAGCCTCAATTGAAAAGTGAATTATCAATTACCAGTTATACTTTTCAATATTCTTTCACTAATTCGAAAATCAAGCTATCATCACTTCTTATTTTAATCCACAAATACAACACTAAAAAATTAATTGACACTCAAGGTATGGTGCACTTCAACTGTGGCCAGTTACTCAATTGTCAGAGCTAAACGATCATTGCTTAAATGGATGAAACTGGGGTGTTGTCTCTACAGAAGTTAATTCAGTTATCAATAAATATACATATGCTGGTTTAGAAGAAGGTGTAGTAGGTGCCCAACAACCCGGTGAGGGCAAGCACGGCGTACCCGGTTCTGTACACGCCCTTCTTCGTCAACTCGTGCGCGGTGTCCCAGATCAAGTGTCTAATACCGTTGAGCCCGTGGTAGAAGAACGGGTAGGCGCCGGCGGCCTTGGTCAACACCTTGACGGCGACGGGCAACGACGCGAAAGCGCTCACCACGGAAGCAGCAGAGAAGGGGATGTCGAGAATCAGGGTGGCGGCGTAAGTGCAAGTCAACGCGTAGAAGGCACCGGCCAAAGCCACACCGGTGATTCTGTGCAAACCCAGCAACACCCAGGTAAGCTGGGGCTGGTAGATTTTCAAGTGAGGCGACACGGGCCGGTTGGCTCTCTGGGCGGTCAAGATCTTCTCCTCCAGGGCGGCGTTGTCCCGGACGGTCTGGATGGTGCGGAACGACGTTCTCGCCAACGGTCTGAGGGCGGCGGCTAATGGTTAGTATACTGGTGGTTTTGACAGTGTCATTTGGTACTTACCGCCTCTGATACCCAACGCAGATCTAGCAAGCATGGTGAGTGGGAGTGATTGGATGGGGTTTTTTTCTCTGAAGGTCGGGGTGAAAGTCGCACCCCGGAGCTCGCTGGAGCCAATCATTGGCGAGCAGTTTTCCCAGCTGGCGCGTAAGCAACTCACGTGATTTAAGGCATGTGATACAAGTCATGTGATGCAAACACTGGGGCAACTAAGCGACTGCGGCGAGTTTGTGTCTGGTGAAAAAAGCGAGCGAAAGCGGACACACCGTCCACAGCCTCCGATAGCCGCTCTGCCGCGATAACCTTCACCGCAATCGTATTTGAACACAAATGCTTAGCCACTTAAATGGCAGCTTAAAAACACTGGAACCGTGGAGAATATAGCCCTTTCAACAGCCAGGTAATCAAATTGTCTCAACCCATGTGGTATTATAGATGTACCAGCCGACATAGGGGTAATTCCCTCATTTGCTGCTGAAGGTTGAGTCTATCAGTGATAGGCTAGGCTCTAGCATTTGACTGTACTGTCAAAAAAAGCATACAAAAGATCAATTATTTGTTGGTCGTAGTTAGTGTCATGCTATTCCAGGTCCCACAATAAGCCAATGGGTTAGTCACTTATCTCGATCGTCATTATCTATTGTTCTTGCCGATCGCGCCATTGTCGCCGTTATCGGAGTCGTCCCCTAGTCAGAAGCAGACAGTTGTCAATCTGGCCGTTGCCAAGCGGACAGTCGACACTGCTACCATGACTAAGCGCTCTAACCTCAGCGTTGGCGTCGCCACCCTAACTGCGCCCTCTTTCTAGTCGCTTTAGTCACACGAGTGTGGGTTCACGAATTAATGACACTTTCGAATTACTCACACCTCAAGCACGAAACTTTCCCACAATTTGCAGTAAATTCAGGTAATCACGGCAACTTCAAGTTCGAGTCATGAAACAACTACTGAAACAATATTAAGCGATTCAATCAGATAAAGTTAAACTTATAAGACGTTTCCTTAGTCGTCATTTGCCAGGTTAGTTACCTTCCCTGCCTTGTCGTATTCGTGACTAATGCCTGTGCCACCCATGCGGTCGTGCGCCGGCAAAAGCGCCGTTACACCATCCGGCCGATAGCGCGCTTATTCGATCGACACTCGCCTCACCCTTGATATAAGAACCCCCCCATATTTGCCGTATCGACACCGTGTATGGAGGCACCACGCAGACGAACCGAGTTCTCCTTGGCGCTGCCAGACAAGGACACGGGGCTGGGCACGCTGGACACCCTGGCGGAGCCGCTGCTGCCGGCGGAGGCCGCGCCTATCCCCGACCTGGAAATGCTGTTCCCCAAGAAAGCCATCGCCACTAGAACCCAGCTGTTGCAGCTGGTGTTGCTGGCGGCGTCGCTCAAGCTGTTGACGCAGATGACGCCGGCAGCGCCCCCGGGAGCGCCCCAGCGGACATTGCACCGCAACCCTCTGACCATTTCCTCCCTGCTGCGGACGGCGCTGAGAGACTTCCAGCTGTTCATCCAGGCGCCGGTGCTCACGCTGGTGCTGACGCTCCGCCAGCTGGAAGTGGAAATCGGCCAGCACTCGCCGTTTGGCGACGCTATCCTGAATGATAATAATGGTACTACTACCCTCGACTACTCAGCACTGCAGCGGGAACTGAGATCAGTAGCACCTCCGCCGCCGACCACAGGCACTGCGCCACCGGATTTACCCCGCCAGCTCTTCTCCCAGCCGCTGGAAACCGCACTGACTGCGGCTCAAGACCCGCAAGCGTCACTGACGAAAATACGTCCCCGCCAGCCACTGGACGATACCCAGATTGCGGAGAACCTTACGCTCAACGCGTTGAAGAAGTTGCTGATGCTGCCGTTGCCGATGGTGAGCCACGGCGGCGTCAAACGGGCCCTGCTGACCCCGCTGGCGACGGCGACGGCGCCGCAAATGACGCCGGCCCAGCCTAATAACAACGCAGCGCTGATGCCCGGCCTGCGCACCACCACTCCCGCCCCTTACCAGCCGGCTACAGTCGACTTATCGCTGTTCCCGCTGCTCACTCGCCAATCATCGCTGAGCCGAGTCGAGACGCCCGTAGCTCCCGAACCAGAGCCCGCAGCCACTCCCCGCAACCAACTGACGATCCTGTCAGTCCTAAGCCAGCAACAGAGCCGGTTCCCCGCCAACCAGCCTCCCTCCCAGCAAATTGCTGCCGGTACCGGTGCCGGCAACCGACCGCCGTCGGTGGTGCTGACGTTGCCTCGCCGCGACTACCACGCCCAACAGGCGCAGCACCTCAACAAGCAAATGAAGCCGTTGCTCCAGGGAATTCAGCTGGCCCCCAACGCCGCCACCGTTGCCACTTCTACTAGCAATAATAGCACCAATGGCAGCAAAGTGCTGACGCCATCACGTGCGGCCAACCCGTACTTCTCCCAGGGGACTCCCGTACAGCGGCTGGTGCTGGTGCCGCTGCGCCAGCTCCAGCTGATCCAGGGGTTGCGGCTGCCGATGTACGTCCCCGCGGTGTTGCGGGTGACGCAAAACCCGATGATACCCACGCCCGACAGCGACGACTACTTGCCGTCGCACCCGCTGCTGCTGCCAGAGCTGGTGGTGCTGCTGAAGCCCAGCACCCCGTTAATTCCCTCTACCCCGCTCCAAGTGCCGCAGTCACGCTCCTACGACGACATCATGCGGGCACCGCCAACACGCAAGCACTGGCTCAAAGACGAGCTGGTCGACAAGTGCATGATCGAGCTGTGCCCGCGCACGTTCAACTTCTTCGAGCGGCGCCACCACTGCCGCAAATGCGGCGGCATCTTCTGCAAGGAGCACACGCTGCACTTGCTCTACATCAACCATTTGGCCCAATTTACTACGGGTGGACGCGGTACGCTTCTGAAGGTGTGCGACATGTGCATCGACGAGTACCTGCAGTTTATTGTCGCCGAGTTTGGCCCGCTGCTGGTGCCGACGGTGACGCCGTCCACCTCCAACAACGACGTGGCTGCTACTCCGCGCTACCGCCAGCCGTTACTGGCGACTCCTGAAGAGCAACAGGACCCGAACAAGCCGCTTGCGGCCACCCACCGCCCCGTGATCAACGGCAAGCTGATCACGACGAAAGAGGCCGCCATCGCCGCCGGGTGTGGCCACTTCGACGACCAGGCGCCCCGCGACCAGCTCGTGGGGCTGGTGCCCGCCAACTGGAGCTGGTCGTCCTTTTAATGATAACGACAGAGACATACCTAATGCATGCATCACATGACAATTGTAGATTGACGATTAATTACTTCTTTATTGCCTGATCATCCAAAGGAGTCGATGCACGTTGCCGTACGAAGTGATTCTCTAATGTTGTTTGGTAAACTGCATAGTATGCCGAAGAACTTTTTGCGTCAGGCCATATCTCTCTATGGTTTCTTTATTCTGCCTCATAAAGAGTAGGAGATTTAACAATCCATAGAACTCTGTCTAATCCTGGCGTATAAATAGCCTTTAGATCCAGCTGTAGATAGAATTAGACTATAGAGTTTCGTTAAGAAAACTGTGACATAACGTAACTCTGGTCAAACTAGATCTAACTGAGACTGACAATTCTCTCAAATCAGATCATTTAAAATTTATTCACACAGTGATCACCGTTTACTTTTGAAGCGTTCAACGTTTGTCAATCACACAGTCTTGATAATTCTTAAAAGTAAGATTACCCACTTTCCAATACTCGTTCATGCGTGTCATTAGCTATATACAAGGGTCAACGCTTGCGGTACAACTCCCGCGGCTCTTCTTTCTTCTCCAGGATCGGCTTCACCACCGGCTTGCTGATGTGCTGAGTCAACTTAGAAGGAGCAGGCCACTCTTCTGGGAGGAGGCCAGCCCGCTTAAATAAGAACCCCACCCGGTCCAGGACATCGGCACCCACACCGAGCCAGTACTTGGACCGGTCAAAGTCTAAGGTGATATCCTTGAACGGCTTCACGCCACGGGCCTTCTCCACGGGAGTCAACGGAGTCGCGATGGGGTTGTAGGTACCCAACACCTCGATGGGCAAAGCGTCACGAGCCTTACCGCGGTTGGCAACCACGATGTTGTATACGGGACTGTGCTTTCTGCCAAACCGGGCAAGTCTGATCTTGATCGGGCTCTTCATCACACTGACGATTCTCTTAGTGATTTTCCTCGAGATTTTTCGCACCGCGAGGCCCAAGCACGAGAGACCTCAAGTTGAAGGTGAAGCCTAGTTTTAGGATGAAAAAAAAAAAAAAGATTTGGGAGTAAGATTTATTGATTGTTTGATCTAAGTAGATTTTTGATCTCATTTGATTTTGGATTTTGTGCTTAAATTTGAAGAAGTTCTTATTAGTTTGGACCTACCGGTGACCCGCACGAGTGGGGAGCGAGAGTCATGACAATCAGTATCGATGACATCGTTGACGCTGCTGATGCGATGAAGATACCACTATGGATAGCATTGGTGGGTGTTGCAGGGTATAGCTACCACACGGTTTACTTTTTCCCTTTATTATTGGTGGTTTTGGTGGCTACATTGGTGCTTATCCTTTACTATTATAATCTTTGGTATAAAGTGAGAGGGACAGTATGGCCAGATATTTGCTCAAAGGACGTTGTATTGGTTACCGGAGGAAGTCAGGGACTTGGGAAACACATTGTGAAACTACTCTTACGCCAGGGGGCTGAAGTGATCGTGCTTGACATCACTCCCCCTTCCACCGACGAAGTGACCTATATCGCCTGTGATTTAGCTCAGCCGGATCAAGTTAGGGAGGCATTGAATGAAATAACTCCCCATAAACAAATCACGGTGCTCATCAACAACGCTGGCGTTCGTCACAGTGACGGAGTGTTGGCAATGGCTCCCGATAAACTCCACCGTATCTTCCAGATTAATGTGTTTTCACCAATGTTGATCACCAAGACAGTTGTGGAAAGCTACCACAGGTCTAAAGCAAAGCAACCGCCGCTCAGAGTGTGCTTTATATCTTCAGTTTTAGGGATATTGGCTCCGCGGAACTTGGGCGTCTATTCGGCGACGAAAGCCGCCGTCACGCAAATGTACGATGCTCTCGTCCATGAACACCGTGATGATACTAACTGGCTTCGTTTTCTCTTGATGCTTCCGGGACAAATGGATACGGCGATGTTCAGAGATGTCACTCCGTCAAAGACGTTCTTTGCCCCCGTGGTGGCAGCCAATAAGCTTGCAAAGACAATTGTGGCTAAGCTAAACCGGGGTGAAATTGGCACTGTGTGTGCTCCCGTGTACGGTAGCATTCTCCCTGTGGTTAAAGTACTTCCTGAATGCGTTCAACACTGGTGTCGCCAATTCTCCGAAATGGACGATAAAGTCGAGGGTTAATACAATTGAGAAATGAGCTTGGCTTTACAATACAGCTGACAATGAGTTTACTTTATTTTCAAATTCTTACAACAAGTTGAAAGATGAAGTCGAGTTGAAAATCAAACAGATATCGGTGGTCAAGATGGAGACAATACACTCACAACGACTTAGTCATAGACAATTCAACCGATTACTACGTTATTTACTGTGGCCTCAATTTTGCCCCATTATCGAGACATCAGAGTTGACGGGCTATACTATTTATGGGTCGTAAATTATTACATTAAAGGGTGACTATTTCTTGAGCTTAGCCAACTCGGTCTCAACAAGGCTGACCAAGGCGTCTCGGTTGATGTAGCCCATACCATCAAAGAGCTTTTCGAACGGTAAGTAGCCGTCAGCCAGCTTCGGCGGGCCCTGTTTAGGCTCGGAGGTAATCTTGACGTAGTACACCGGCTCGTACTTGTCGGTCCACCCCTTGATGGTCAACTTGTCCCCGGCCTTATTTTTGCCGATATATTTGATGTTGGCGTAGCTGAAGTTGGAAAAGAACCACATGAGCGCCAGCAACAAGAAGTACACGGCGATCAAGGCGGCGTTGATCAAGTAGACGTCCTTGAACTTGTATTTCTTCTCCAACCAGTACATGAGCCCGGCAAGCACGACGGTGCCGTAGCCAGCGGCGATCTTCAAGTCGGTGAGCCAGAAGATTTCGTCGTACCCCAATTGCGTCAACACCACCGGCAACTCCAATTCGGTGGTCTCCCGAAGATCCTTGATGGAGCTATGCGTTAGTTTTGGTACAGGTTAAATTTCCAGGGGAGAATCACGTACTTTAAGTTGGTCTTCTTCACTACCATGGTTATCAAGGTACCCTTCAGTGGGGCGCCACGTACGCGCGTTAGACCAAACAGTCACGTGAGAACCACCACAGTCAGTAGAAAGAGAGAGGCAATAGACACCAAGAGCATGATTAAGATGTAATGGTTCGATGGTCTAATTACAATCGAATGAAACTATACTCTGATAGGACAAGTTCTTTATCCTAGCCGACGTGGGCTATAGTTTAGGGTCCAGTTCATTAATCGTGAGAATTGATTCATTGAAACTAGAGCTTATTCAACAGAAACTCTATGTAATTTCAAAGCCTGAAACTTACTCCCATCAGTTTTTCCAATTGGCACTCGTAATTTCCTTGGGGAACGTAATTGGCTTTAGTGGTTTCAAGTTGTGTGTCGTGTGATCCTCAAACTCTCAGACCTACTAACTAAACACTCACATCCATGAGTTGATAACGAGAGAATCTTCAATGCTGAGGTCGAAGGTTTACGCTCATTATACTGGTTGATTGACAATCGATTGTCATGCTGAATCAATCAACAATGATCATGGTCTCATTACTGATACAATACCGATACACTGCTTGCTTATCGATTTTTGAAGTCCCTTATTGGTGAAGTCTTAAGCCGCTGCTACTGAGATGAACCAATCGGGTTCTCCTGCTGAGAGTCTCGGAGAATTACCACTTCAGGGTTGTTACCGGGGGCACATTCCAAAGCCCGCGCCGCTCGTCACTGCCCCTGGATGCAAAGACGTAGTGGTATTTTCGTCCATTAGACGACGACGGCAAAGAGACCATTCTAGACCAAATGAGGTCGTTGAGAGCAAGAAGCTACGATGGCTACATGATGGCTCCACGATCCCAGGCTTGATGGTGGTCAGGGGTGTAGTCTGACCTTGCTGTTGCCCTAACGATACCAGCTACTCCTTTCAAACTATGATGAGGCTGTTACTAAATCTCTCAAGGTGGCTGGCTGATGGTGCGGAGCGATGGTTATTTTCTGTGGAACCACAGCATCGCCCCCACTTTCGACCCCAAAAACCACTCTCTATATTGAGCTAATTGGGCACTATTGAAGCTATCGATATCGGTGAGGTTAGCAGAGAATAGTCTCGACAGATAACTCATTCTCGTTTTGCTCAATTTGCGTGGACGATCTGTGATTGTCGACTAAATCTCTGATAGCATCTTTAAATTGGTTCAGGCATGCAGTCGGGATGGCGACGAGAACAATGGGAAAGGCGGGCCAGCAGCTAATGGCCGGGTAACGATTCATCCCTAGTTTATTAGTTGGCTGTATACAGGGCAGGGGTATAAAGAGCGCTGGTTAGCCCGGTAACTTGTTTTCCTCTTCATTCCTTACCGACTCCCATGTTCATTCAGTTGCCTTTTCGAATACGACCAGCCGCAATACGGATAACTCCTTAGGTCCCACGACGAATAAGTGGCAAGTGTGCTACGATAGCACATCCCTTTATTGTCGGCAGCGGTTGGTTGGGCATGGAACTGTTTGGATGCCGCTAACGGCCACAATGACGAAGTGTATTTTGACCCAGCAAATCAGTGAGCAGCTCAGCCCCACCAATTTCTGGTACCTCTAACGGCGTGGCTGCTGAACGATCCGGTTGAGTGTCCGCACCCCAGCAAATGAGGCTGATCCAATCACCTCAAACGCAGTGGATAGTGCCGTGCCCGGAGATAATACTCGGTTGAGTGTCCGCACCCCAGCACCTGAGGTTGATCTGATCACCTCAAACGCAGTGGCCAGTGCCGTGCCCGCAGTACCGTTCATCCCCGCCATGAGAGGAGGCATCCCACGCCCGAGTTAGCGTGGCCCATGAAAAGCTGTGGATCACAAAATCACGCCTCGCATTGCTGCTGGAATCAAACGTAAGTATATGTTTGATTTGAGCAACAACATTGTGCCTTAGTCTATATAAATGTAGAGACTCCTATAGGTTTAACGTGGAATTTGTATATAGCTTTTCAATTAGGTGTGATAAAGAAAACATGAGAAAAGTGAATCATTGTAAGTTTTTTATTCCAGAAAGATGAATGAACTGAGTATAGCTTGCAATTACTTGGTCCATGCCGTAATCCTCTATCCAAGTTTATTCCTTTGTTTGGCGCGGCTGTCAATGCTACGCGGTGCGGGTAGGACCACGCAGAAGTTGCTCACACTGAATATGCCATAGAACATGACTTTGGAGGCCCAAAATCACTTGAACAGCAAACTGAAACATAATTAAAGTAGTTCAGGTGGTTTGACCATCGAAATTCCCGTTAGTTGCCATCAGAAGTGGTATGAGTAATCACGGTCACGTGATTTGCCGCTCAAAACGTGGGTGATTCCATCTCGCTCACTAAGGACCACCCATATTGGCCTTGGAGCATGCCATTATGGGCAAACGAATCAACCAAGCTAAGAGGGGTCTGAAGCGCCCAGACCACCAGTTGGACTGGCAGCTCGAGGGTCTTCTTCAAGGGAAAACCTCCAAGGTATCGCTACAGCTTGGCTACCAACTGTACGAGGAAGAATACCGCAACCGAGCCAAAAACCAGCCGTCTCGTCTGCAGAAACCGCGGCGGTCGAACCTGGACTCGGCGACAAAAGTGCACTTGACCGGCTTGTCTTATATCAATGCCCACTACCAGTTTGTCGTCGATCCCAGCCAGATCGGCCCCGCGGCGGCTTTAGACCCCAACGTCCCCCCGCCCAAGCAGTCGGTGGTGTGTGTCGTGGCCAACGATACCCACTTCACCTGTCCCATCTGTCTTTCGGACGAGATCGTGTCTCCCCGGATGATTGTCCACTGTGGCCACGTGATGTGCCTCAAGTGCTTGCTCTCGTTGCTTGACTCAGAGGTGCCGCCCGCCAAGAAGCGGGAAGCGAAGCTGGTCGTTGAGAAGTACCGTGAGTGTCCTCTTTGTCTGTGTATCATCCGATCCCATGAAGTATTACCGGTACTGTTTCTGCAGATACCACAAATACTACCTAAACCTGGGGTCGAGGTTGAATGGACGTTAATGTCACGACCGCACAACCGGTCAGTGGCGTTACCTAAGGAACTTCTGATTGTCCACGATTATATGGTCGATTTCCCTGAGGCCGGCGGCGAACCGTCAGAGCTTGAGCAACACCTGCGAATCATCAAGGGGTCGTTGCAGGGGATGTTGGACATGTACGCTGCGGAGAAGGAAGCCATTCTCACCAACCATGCCGTTGAAAAGGAACTATACGGCGAGGGAGACAAATACGTTACTGCCGCCATCAAACACATCGACGCTGAAGTCAGCGACTGGATGGCTCGCTGGTCGGAAATGCCCACGCGAGTGACTCCCTTGGAACCAGCCACCGCCAACCCGTTCTTGTTCTACCAGTTGGGCCTGTCGCACGGCGGCACGGTGTACGTGCTTGCTCCGCTTGATGTCAAGGTGGTGAAGAGTGCCTTTGACGATAGTTACGCCAACTTACCATCCACCATTACCGCTCCGGTGGAGAACGTCAGTTACGAAGAGCTCAGTCCTGAGAAAAGCGTGGGTCGATGGAAGTTCTTGGCCCACTTACCTCTTGGCACTCAGATCGGGTTCGTTGAGTGTGATTGGTCCAAACACCCTATCGTCAGTGCCTCCCCCGATTTCAAGCAGTATGAAGCTGATCTCATCAAGCGGAGCAAACGCAGTCAGTCGAAGCTGAAGCGAGAAGAGCGTAACCGACAAAAGGCGTTGGCGTGGGAAGAACAACGCACCAGAGACTTTTACGAGCGAGAGAATCTGGGTATCCCTCCTGAAGCCATTGACGATTATATTGGTGGTGGTCTCGGCATGGGTAGTCTTCTGATCATCGATCGCACGGGGACGTTACCGGAATTGACCGCTCCCGCCCCTAAACCCGAAGAAGACCCCAACAAGTACAAGAAGCTGGTGTGGGGGACCACCGTACTCAAGCTGGAGGAGGAAGACATGGACGAACTCGAGGCAGCGGAGATGATCCGCAAGGCTCGCGAGGCCATGGAGACGATGGAACGACTGGGCAAACAGAAAAAGAAGAAACGCATAGTTTTGTCATCTACATTATAGCATAGAAACCTTATGATACCAATGAATACACTTTACCTTTTATTCTAAGTCTATTAATATCCTAGTTCTTGTTGCTGGTACTGTTCCTCGTACTTGGGGTGTCCTGGTCGATATTTCCAAAACAATGCTCCCAACACGAGCACCCCGGTGCCGATAGTGGGGAACATCCAGTACGGGATGGCGGTATCTTGTTTGGGTGGCGGCACGTAAGGGAATAACGCCATGAAGAGATTGGCCACAAAGAATATCGCGATAACCACTAAGGGCGATGTTACCACGTTTCTAGTGACTACCAGCGTCATCGACACGCTACACCGGCGCGGAGGCGTGAGCGGAGTGTCTGACAGTACCAGGCTGCGGCGTATGTCGTCAGAGTCCACTACTTCGGCCAAAACCTCCTGATAGCCGGTGTTCCAATGTTCACTTGGAGTATAGCGGAGGTAGACAAGACCAGCGGCAATCGCAACGTTGATCCAGGTACCAGGGTATATGTACAAGTTGACGATGAACTCGTAGATCTCCAGCGAGGGAGGGGCGACCACCACGATCACTGACACCACCCAGTGGAGAAGTAATGCTGCGTGCCACTTTTGCCATACTGACAGCCACGGCAAGTAGTTATTGCAGGCGAGCTCCTGGTTAACTACCGAGTGAGCATACAGTACCACCATTACATTGCCCAAGTTGGAAATGGCAATCATGATGGGCAATGCTCTCGAGGTGATCAGCTGGCCAAAAATCTTCGTGAAAAAGATCCCAGCACAGAGTACGCCACTGTGAAGGAACTCCTGTTTGGGGATGACGACAAGGTACAGTACCACCACCATAAAGTAGAGGATGGTAGTGGCAAACACGGCGCATGGAGCAGCGATGGTGAGCACGGTGATTGGATTCTCCACTTGAGACAATACGTAGTTGGCGTTTTCCCACCCTTTAAACGAGTAGACCACCTGCAACAATGCCACCAGCAAGTTATAGACACTTGGAGACTTCTCAAACAGCCAGAAGTTGTCGAAATTCAGGTCGCCAGCATCGCCAGTAGATACCCACCCAATCGCCACAAGCAAGCCGATGAGAATAATCACCACCAATACCAACACTTTGATGAGCCCTAACACGTTAAAGAACACAGTACCCAGGTTAGGGTGGCCCCAGTGGATATACGTGCACCCAGTGATGCACAACACAGCGATGAGTTTCACCCACAACTCAGAGGCGTGCTCTTCACCAGACACAGCGTATAGCATGTAGCGACCAAAAGTATAGGCATTGCCCAGCGAGAACCCGAGTAGCACCATCAGAAACGCATAGATACACCCCGCGAGCCCCTTAGGCCAATGGCGACACACCCGCAAGAGGTAGTTCTTCTCGCCCCCATTGGTGAAGGGCAAGTTCATGGCGAACTCGAGGTAGATCATCAAGCCACACCCGATGATGATCCCCCCCAAAATGAAGAACCCAAGGAATAACGCCGCGTTCCCTTCGACGTAGCGGTAGATGATGGCGGGGTTTGAGTAGATCCCCGTGCCGATGATCTTGTTCACGATCAACGACATCGCCAGGAACGTCCCGAGCTTGGCTGGGGTCGCGGCTTCCATGGCGCCTGAGAAACCGTTGTCAGTGTGGTTGAGTAAATAATGTGGAGTACGATCGCGACTCTGACTCCAGCCACAGTGATTGTCTCATGATGCACGTAAATTAAAGGAGTGCATATAGACATTACATACAGTTCAAAGGAAGTTTGTAGGAAACTACAAGGGAAAGGATAAGGGTTGTAGGGGATAGATGATGCTCGCTCAGGGGCTAATTGGTAATACCTAAAAGTTTAAAACTATAAGTATATATAGCGGCACTGAGGCTCGTCCAATGCCTCACTGCTCAAATGTCGAACCCTGAACAAACGACTCAACCGTCTTCTGCTACGCCCAACCCATCGATCATCAACTCGCCAGAATTCCAACGGATCTTGGAAAAGCTCCACACTGACAACGAGCGTGAATTTTTGGTGGATATCATCAAGGACCACGAACATCTTGAGCAGGAGATGAAAGAAAACATTGCGTCAAACCCATCCAGCATCTTAGAAAACATGGAGAAGTTGAATAATGTTATTTTCAAATTCCTGGGTCTTGACGTGGAAGACCGCTTGAAGCTTATGTCAGCCGAAGTGGAAATTCACCTTGACGTGGGGAAGATGAAGGAAGTCATTGCCGTCATGGACCTGACGGCGCTGAAGATCTCAGACATCTCTGAGCGTGGTGACTACATTGCCTGTGTTGCCGATAAGAGGTTAGAGATGAAGTTGTAGGTGTTGGGTAAGCTCAGACGGGTCTACCACGGCCTCCCCAGCCTTCCTCCCGACCAACTTAAGCTCATTGACGAGCGCTTGGACAAAGTGGAACAAGCGCAAGACGATCCGTTGACCCCTGACCGGAGAAATGAATTCAACTTGGCAATTAGCGATAAACTCCGGCGCTCTACTATCCCCCTCTGGTTTTGAAGGAAGCATTGTTCCTTTGGAGCTTACCTAAACCGGAAACGTGATTCAACAACTCCTGACATCACCGACCGTGAGTGTCCCACCACCGAATACTCAAACGACTCAATGATAGTCACCGGTTGCGACGCCATTTTCATGCTTAAACCGAGATTTGTAATATTTGATCAACACCAAAACTTCATCATTTATTCATGAAAAGCTGATTGAAATGCATAAAGTTTGATTTATTCTGTCTATTGTGGTCGTAAGTTGGCGTAAGTCTATGAGGATTATCTATTCCATCCGAGCGGCTGTTGGTTCTCCAACGGACGTGAGTGGCGGTATCGCAGCGGGTGGCGCCAATGAGGTCGCAGCTCTTCGATCAGCGTGTCCACCGTCAATGTATAGCTTTGCGGCTCGGTGAACGAGCGCTGGGTGAGAAACGCTCGCACCTGGCGGTTGGCAATTCTAATATTGCGGCACATCTCGTTGCGGCGTAAGTTGCGGCCGTTAGGTTGTTGCACTCTGAAGTAGTTTTCGTCCTGGTAGTAGATGTGGCGGTTGCCAGGGATGTTCACCACAAGCAGCGATATCCCTTTGGCCCTCACTTCTTCCACCATCTTCGCCACTACTTGTTTGACGGTGTCATCTTCGGGGACAAGAATAACCACGACATCGATGGTTTCAGCTTCCAACATATCGAGGCCGAGCCGTATGGCTCTGACGGGGTCGTGGTTGACGTACCACGCGTTCTGGTCGAGGGGATCTCGACCCATGGTGATGTCGAAGTCGGCAATTTCCGGGGCCTCGACAGCGACAAACCCTCGTGGACCGCCGGCGGCCCTCGCGGGATGGCGACCAAATCGCGGGTGGGTGGAACCTCCATAATGGGCCTGGTTGATTTTCTTTACGTTAGCAAAGAATTTCTGGTGCACCGGTAATAAATGGTCAAAGTCACCGCCGTCGTCGATCGTCAGCTGGGGAGTCAGCTGACGCTGGTATAACAGCGCCACTAATGTCAGGTCGTGGCCGTGGAACCAGAGACTCGAGTGGAGAAAGCGTACGTCCTTGGTAACCCACAGGTCGACCAGGGTGACGACGACGTTGAGGGCGGCTGCCACACCCACCCACAACGGGAGGGGCAACAACATTGATATTGGGTCAGCAACAGCAGCAGCACGGCTCTTGGCACCAGGGGAAGGGAAGGGTAATTTAACTCAACGTCCTAAGCCTCAAAAGGAGGCGATGCCGAGCGGCGTAACTGAGGTGCTGAATGGCGCTGCAAGCGAACGTGCAGTGTAGGGGATTGCTGCATGCAGGATGCACCCTGGCTTGACTTATCGCTACGAGGGAGAAAAAACCGCTCGCTATGATGTCATCGATGTAAGCGATAGTGGCTACTTGTTCGCCTCATCCAAGCCTAGCTTAGAGCCTGATAATTCACAACAGGTTTGCTTTATGCCACGGGTAGTAGACTGCATCCTGTGGGCGCTTACCTAATTGTTGTCGTGTCGGGTGGGTTTTGCGTCCGACAGCACCACTAAAAAGGAGTGGTGACTGGGACTGTATTTACTGCCGTTTGCGGGCGCTGGGCACGACGGGACCTGCCGCAGCACGACTGTTTAGGGAAGGCACGACATTGGCGACCAAACGAGGTGCGAAGCTACGCAAAACGCCATCGCTACCCAGCATCGAGATTGTGTAGCTTGACATCAGGGCCTCAGCGATCACGACGCCCGGCTAGATCAGCTACGCATCGGATCTACGGCGGTGTATCCCCGAGCGTATATACGGTACTGTACGAGCAAATTACTCGCTGCGATGCTCTTTATCTGCTGCACTGAGCTATATTTACTTCTTCGTAAGCCCCCATTGTCTGCTGTGTCCGAACACGGACACCACTTCCAATCATGAATAAACCAATCGCAAGAGGACTCCCACTCGTAAACTAAGTAAAGCTAAGCTCAAAGATGATTAATGATAAACATTTTTGGTAACTGGTACCAAAATATATTTGATACATTCGTAAATCATTCCTAACCGACGTTGCCATGACGCAGCAAAAGCTGTACAACTTATGTTCATCGATGACAATGGGTCTGCCACGTAAAAATGCAGTAAATGAAGCTTACCCGAGTGTCTAGTATTCCCAAAAATGCATTAAATAAACCACTTAAATAAACGTCTCAATGCTAACAATGCTGCCTAACAATGCCGTCTATGCTAACAACGCCAGCCGGTCGGCGTCGCTCATCAGCGCCAACGCCTGTTGGCCGGTCTCCAGCTGGATAAAATCGCGCACCACCGCCACCACGTCGACGTCATCCAATGCCAGGCTCGCCAACGGGTCCTCGATGGGCTCCTCGTGGGCCTTGTCGAAGAAGCCCAGCAGTTTAATCTCCTCGCTGGCCAAAAACTCGCTGAAATTGACGTCGGCGGCGCCCTCAGTGGCATCGCCAGCGTCGTCAATCAGCTCGTCCCACTCGTGCTCGCTCCAGTCCTCGGCGGTGAACTTGTAGTTGGCGTCACCCATGTCGTAGGCGTCAAACTCCTGTTTCCGCTTCTCCAAATTGGTGATGGCAGCGGGCAACGCTTTGACCACAGTGGCCAAATGGGTACCTAGTTGATCCACGATGGGTTTAGGTAAACTCAGCGACGAGTTGTATAATGTCACGAGCCCCAATGCCGTTAACTTCAAGTCGAACACACGCTGTAATTTCGGGATCACCTTGAACCACCGGCTAAAGAAGGTTTCGGCTTGACCCGCTTGACTCAAATGCATCAAGGTCACCTCGGGGTCGACAACCAAGCAGGCGATGATGACGTCGGTGACGTTGACTCCCATCAGCGTGTAGACGTCGTCTTGCTCGTCGAGGCCGCGACCGATGTGGTATACGGCTTGGAGGAACTGGGGTATATAGGGCTTGGCCACCTCCTTCAACTTCATCACAAACGTCTGGGAGAGCTCACAGGCGTAGATGTACTCATCTTGTCTGCCGAAATCGTCCTCCAGATCGTCTTCGTCGGCGGCGATCAGGGCAAACACCAAGTAGAACTGCGCCACGAGCTCAGGGTTGGCGCGGATGGTGTCACTGCCATACACCAAGTAGTTATGCAAACAGGGGATCAAGTTGTCGAGGTATAATAAGGCAATGCGAGACTGGAAACACTTGACCAAACCGGGGAAGTGTTTCCAGGTAGTGGGCGACACCATCTGTAAAAGGTAGGTCAGGTTCTCGATTAACTGAGCAATCTCACCCAAGAAGTCGTCAAGTTCGTTGGCAAGACAGTACTCGATGGCGGGAGCCATCACTTCTTCAAGCTTTAAACAGATCTCTCTAGAGTTTTCGAATGATAAAAGAATGGTGATCATCGTTCCTAAAAGCCCCGTGGCCGCAATCACTTTGTCGCCGGCCTCGTCGTAGTTGGCATCGTCAAAGTCCTGATTCTGTTGGTCGGCAACGTCACGCGCTAATCTCATGAACTGCTCGACTAACTTCTGCATCAAGTCGACACCGTACCCTTGTAATTGTTCACTGAAGTTCTCCACACACTCTTGCATCACTATCAGGGTGACGTCATTATCGATCTGGTTGGAAATTTCCAATAATCGCAGCATCACTCTGACGATGATATTGCGTAATATCGGGGTGAATTGCGGGTGGCCAAGGTACGACTGGATGGCAAGCGTGGCGCAAAACGACACGGGGAGCTCCAGCTGGTCGTGGAAGTTGGATAAGATGCCGTGGAAAAGGCCCTTAAGAGTGTTCTCATCGGTGAAGTTGACTTCAGCGTACTTCAGTGCCACTTCGATGGCCCGGGCTTTCAAAAAGCCGTACTTCAGCGTCAATGCCGGGAACACCAACTGCGATAAAAACTGCTCCATTTGCGCGTTGTACTGAGGGATGACCACGTGTGACACTGAGCCCAACATAGTGAAGATCCCTTCTTTCTTCTTGGCGCTTTCCAAGTCGCCATCTTCAGCGCCAAGTGCCGTCAATTGGGCGTGGCCAAACTTGATGATGGGCTCCATCGTGTAGGAACGACGCTTCTTCACTAACGTTTGTAAGAAGCCAAGCGCCGCCACCGAGGGCAGGTCGGACCGCTCGTTAAAGTCAAAGTATAAGTGGATGTATTCTTGCGGGTCCTCCTCGAACATCTCAAGCTGGGAGTCGTTGGGACACACAAGCGGCCAGATGACGTGGCCCACAAGCTGGTCGATGGTCGGCTTCATCTGGTTCCAGGTATTCTTTTGCGCAACCAGATGGCTAAAGAACTGGAGCAATTGGTAGAGGGTAGTGTCAGAAAGCCATCTGTCGCCATTGCACCAGCTCGACACAATCAACAAATAGTTGTTGAGCAAGTGGGGCACGAACTCGTCGGCAAACATCGTGTAGAACTCGCGGTAGTTGAACTTCTTCAGCGGCAGCACCAGCCCGTAGCGGCTGAAAAGGCGGTACATGTTGGCCACCGACCACTTGTAGCACTTGGAGATCTCAAGCATCAGCTTCTCCTTATCGTCGACGTCGCCGACGTAGCTAGGAGTAGGGTAATTAAGCACTTTACCGTGGAACTCGCCCCACGCCGCCACATGTTCCCGCTGTCTCAAGGGAGCGGGGAAGTCGATATAAGTGACAAACTTATACGACTTGAGGATGAGTTTAAGCATCTCCGCAAGCTGCTCCAGCATCAGCGTCAGCGGTACTTCAAGTAAAGCGTTACCGAGAGCTAACATGTGGGGGAACGCCAGCTCGATGATGGGGACCAATTGAGTATCACGATCATCATTATACTGCCAGCGGAAGTGGCGACAGATCTCCAGAAAACATAAAAGACCAGTGTATAACCTCAGCACCAGCGCTTCATTGTCTAAGGTAGTTTCCTGAAGTAACTCTCCCGTCTGCTTAGTAAGCCCGGGCCACTGTTCAAAATCGTGCTGGACTAAGCAGTGGAGCACCTGGATCAACTGTTTCTTCGTCTGGTAGTCCAGGCCGATGATGGCGTCGATAATCCGGTCCCGCACGATGGGTTTCTCGTCGTGGTCAATGGCAAACTGCTTATAGAACGGGTCGGAGGGTTTCCAGTACATGCACACCCGGTTCTTCAAGTATACGGCGGCAGCTTTCCGGATGGGTGCCGGGACTCGTGTCTCGGTGAGGATGTCGAGACAAGCGCCCAAGAACCCTGGCTGGTGCTGGCTCAATTGTTTGAGCTGGTCCTCGGCCTGGCCCCGCACGGTGGGGTCGGCCTGGAACGTCCCGTTAAAGAGCTCCAAAAGATAATTGGCGTCCATGTATGGGGAGGGGTGGTGGTGGGGCCGCGGGAGCCTTTTGGGGTGCTAGTAAGGTATAATTGGGCGCAAAAGAACGATGATTTGTGAAGCCGCACGTGATGAGAAATGGGTACAAAGGAAGCAGCGAACAGGAAGTAGACGAGGGAAGTAATGAATCAAGATAGTTAAGTGGTAATTATAGGATTCTTTTACATCATAAATTTAGATAATCTCGGTGGCGCTGATTTGCTGGCTACGGTGAGGGGTACCGTGGAGCTGCGATTATCGCCGAGCACATCTCCGGGGCGATGGGTGCGACAGCTCCCACAAATAGGCGACCATCGGCAACCGAAGCGACGGGGCTGTGGCGAAGCCTTCCACGTCACGTACACAACGAGACCACAGCCACTCAGTAACAAGTTTAATCCATTATTCGTGTGTAGACAGAAAGTCAACTTTTTAGGCTTGGGTTCAAATCTGAGTATATAGATGCTACCGTGTGCGTAGTAGTAAGGCGATGTGTGGTAAGACGACTAAGTTGAAGGGACTCTCACACTACCTCCTCACCGCCTTTGGAATCGAAACAGTCGCTTCCAGATTAAAATCGATCGGACAGCCGCGGTCCATGGGACTTGCTCGTCGATTGCGACTTGGCATTACTCCACAGTTGATTAATTAAAATTTGAGGGACAAAGGCTCCACCAAAATTATCATGAGGGTGACGTGATTTATCGTCACCATAGGCTTCACTCAGGGCCACGGTACGGCTAAGGACGCCGTCAACAACGTCTTGGAGACCGGGGAGTGCACCATCAACATCATCAGCGAGTGGTGGCTCGAGGCGGCCAACATGGCACTGCCCCCGTGAGGAGGACGAGTGGAAGTACTGCGGCCTCACTCCCGAAAAGCTGACGGTGGTGAAGCCGGCTCACGTCGCCAAGCTGGCGTACTCGATGGAGTGCAAGCTTGTTGCCAGCCACGAGTGGAAGCTGAAGAAGACGGGCCAAGTGTTGGGGCAGACGTCGTCCGTTCCGACGTGTTGAGCGAGGACGGCAAGCTGGTTGACCTTGAAAAGCTTAAGCCCGTGAGTCGTTTGGGTGGTATCACCTATGGCCGCACCACTCCGACCTACGAATTGCCCACGCCTCACCTCGACAACCTGGCCGACTACCAATATATTTAGACTAGATTACCAATAGAATCCCTTCAACTACAACGTTTTTCAATTTAGTACAGTAGAGGACGGTTCTTTTTGTTAATGATATTTCATAGCATAGTTAGTGGGTGTGTCTTACCTGCAGTACGCTCCCCACCTCATCGCGACTTAGGCGGCCATCGATGATCTCTCGACTAAGCCATGGCAGGGGGCAACTCGATCAACAGAACCAAGTACAAAAACAAGGCGGCTCACCACGCCCAGGCGTTGGCGAAGAAGCGGGCATCGAAAGTGCGCAACACCAAGCTGGCCCTCGGCCGCTACCACGAAAAGGCGGTGGCCGCCCCTGGCGAACTGACGGAAGTCGCCCTCTACAAGGGTGCCCCCGTCGCCGGCGACGCCATCACCACTCAGTCGCTCTCGAAGAAGAGAGCCAAGAAGCTTGCCCGTAACATGAAGTACATCCGCCAGAGACTGGGCACTCCCGGTGACGAAATGCTGGTCGACGAAGAAGCGGAGCCGCCTAAGGAAGGTGACGTCGAACGGGTGAAGAAGGCGTTGTGGAACTTGGTGGAAAACTGGCAACCAGTGCTTCCCTCGGGCGCCGGCACCACGTTGGGGGCGTAAATGATGATATCAATGGATGATTTACGGGGTTATAAGTGCACCTGTGGTGCTAAATTTGTATATTAGTTCAATGGGATAATCGCAAACGATAAAAGAAAACCACTATGGTATTAAGGAATTAAGCATCTCATTCTATCTGACTTGAGGTCAAACACCAAACCCTAAGTAGATTATGTCATATCTCTAACGTATGCCTCTTGTCAAGCAAATCAAGACCGAATACTCCATTTCCCATTAGGTATATTTGTTAGGATAGTTTGGATCCTCGTCGATTCTACACGGTTTCGATTACGCATGATATTCACATTACAAAAAACTTAGGCGGCCACGGTCGAGTCGTCATCCAAGGCGTGGGCGTTCTTGGCAACCAAGCTGACGACGCGGCGGATCACCGGCAAGTTCAACCAGGCGGGGACGTAGGCCTCCACTCTGGAGAAGGGGCGCAACGGCGTTTGACGGAACGGGTCCGAGAAGTGGCCGTCAGTCAGCACCACTTCAAACAATTCGTCGTTGTTGGTCAGGTCGGTGTTTCTCACCTTGTCGGCCACCGCCTTCAACACATCGGGAGCGATGGGGGTTTCGTAGTCGGCGACATAATATTGCGAGATCAATTTCTGGATCTGGATCGGCTTGAGGGCGTAGCAGATTTCGTAGATGATTTCGATGTCTTCAGGGGTATTCTTCCGCAATTGAAGCAACTTGGCCGCTTGCAACAAGTGGCTCAAGTAGGTCAGCCCTTCGGAGATCTCGTGACCCTTGCACCATTCTTCCAAACGGGTGACGTTGTAGTTGAGTTGCAACCCGCGCTTCCACGACAAGAAGTTACGGCGCATGATCAAGTCGTTGAAACAGAGAGCGTCGACAAACCGGAGCAACTCGACAATGATTTCTTGCATGACATCGTTTTCAATGAAGTACAGCTTCACCGACCAGTAGACGTTGTTGAAGAAGGACAAGATGTCGTCCATCTTGTATTGCACACCGGGGTTGAACACCTTGGCGAGAAAGGGCGAGTTCTCCGGGGCCATGAACCCAGGTAACAGTTGCAGCAACACAACCGCCAGCACCGCCTTCTTCTCGAGGTCCTTCTCCATCTTCTTCATCCACATGTTGTAGATGTTGTACAGCAACGATTCAAAGTCTTCCTTGACCACCGCCACCAACTTGAGGTATTCTTCAAATTCTTCTTGCAGCATTTCGTTCTGCATGCCATCGTTGGAAATGATGGTTTGTTGAGCGTACGACACGAACGAGTACAACTCGTGGGTGTTCGACAACCAGAACGCCCCGTTGGGGATGACGTCGTCGTCCTTAAGCAGAGACACAATCTGTTGGATGTGCGACAACACCTCCCCGAGGAACTCTTCCAGCTCCTTGGTCAAGCCCAAACGCCACATGTCCGAGAGGATGATGATGATGATCCGCGCAGGGAACAACACTTCCTTACGATTGAGGTCAGCAGCCACGCCGGCGGCAGGGATCTTGAGGCCCTTGAGCAAGCCATTGACGATTTCGCTGTTGAGGTTACGCAGATCTCTCAACAACTTGAACAACTCTTCGTTAATGTCATCAATGTCGTTGAGGTCGTCATGATCCTCTTGAACGGCGATAACCGACACAGGACGCACAGGGGTGTCAGCAGCAGCTTGCGACGACCAGGCGTTGGCCGACGAGTAACGCTTGTTGGCAGCAGCGCCGTTGCCGTTGATGCGCTTAGCTTGGCCACCCAAGGACAGCCCGCTCGCCAGTTGCAAAGTCGCCAACTCCTGCTTGAGCAGCGCGATGTTAGCCTTCAAGTCAACCTCGACGGTGTCACGGGAGATGATTTCCTCCCTAGCCTTGTTCAACTCGGCCAAAGTCTCCAGAACTTGCTTACGCAAATCTTGTTGTTCCTTAGTAAGCTCGATAACTCTGTTTTCGGAGGCTTCGTAGTCCTGCTTGAGGGTGTCCAATTGCTGGTTCAAGTCGGCAACTTCTTGCAAGTGTTGAGCATCGCGTTCGTCGTACTTGGCGTTGAATTCGAGTTCTCTCAGCTTGAGCAATTCTTGAGCCAGCTTGTGTTGCTCGATCAACCCTTGGAGGTGGGCGATTTCCTCCATCATCTGCTTGTTCTCTTGGATCTTCGCCGTCAAGTTTTGCGTCAAGTCGATGACCTTGTTTTCCAACTTGTACGAGAATTCTTGCAAGCGCGACACATCCTTGGCCTTGGCCTTGACTTCCTTCAATTCGCCTTGAGCCAACTTGCGGCGGATGAACGATTGAATGGTCACCGTCAGCGCCACCTTGCGCTGGTGAGCTTGACGGGCCAGGTACCCACGCCACGCCGATTGGATGGCCACAGCCGACCGTTCCTTGAGCTTGTGCTGGTAGTTTTGACGAGCTTGGTAGCCACGGATCAGCTTTTGAATCGCCACGGTGGCAGCGATTTGTTGAGAAATGCGACGACGGACCAAGTACCCGCGGATACCGGTTTGCAAAAGCAGGGCGGCGGCGTTTTCGCGTTCTTCCTGGATACGGCGCCGGGCCAAGTAGCCTCTGATCAAAGCTTGCAAGCTGTGGTGGGATTCCTTGATTTCCAAGTACTTCTTGCGCCAGAAGCGACCCTTTAAGTGCTTCTGGATCATCACCGCAGCGTTGATCTGCTTGTCGCGTCTCAAATCTTCCAAGTAGGCCAAGACACCCGCCTTGAAGAAGAGCTTCAGGTTACCCAATTGGAATTTAGTGGGGTCGTCAATATTCCGGGTCAAGATTTCCGAGCATAATTCGGAAACCAGTTCCTTAGTGGTATCATTGCGCATCACCGGGATCCACAAGTCCAGAGGAACTAAGATGTGAAAACGGTCGGCAAAATCAACGTACGGCCGACGCGTGGGGAAACCTGCACACGAGATACGAATAGTTTCCAACACACCACACGCCCGCAACTGCAGCAACACCATGATGGTGTCGAACTCCCACGCCTTCTTACGTTCGTTGGGCTTGATGCATCGGATGTAGTGGACGTTCGTCAGGTTGATCGTCTTCATCAACTCAATCAACGAGTTCTTGAACATCAGCCCTAAGGTGGGCTTCTTGGCCGCCAAGCTCCGGACACCGGGCTTAGGAGTGGACTCCTTCAGTTCAGCGGCGGCCTCGTTGTTCTTGTCCATGACTTGCAATACCAGCTGCAACAATTCGTTGGTACTCAGCTTCATCACTTCCATGTGACCTTCGCCAACTGTGTCACGGTTCTTTTCAATGAACCCTTCAGAGTCGTAAGTAACGTCCAAGGCGTAGTGCAGCACGATAAACTTGGTTTGACCGAAACGGGGCTTCTTGAACACCTTATTAGTGGGCTCTTTGTCCAAAGTTTGGTACATCTTTTGCACCCACAGCTGGTCGTCACCCAGGGGCAACCGCGACTCTTCGTCCAACAACGACAAGACCCCCAACCGGTTTTCAATCAAGTTGATACAGGGCTGGTTGTCGGCGAAATCAATGAACAGCCATTCGATTTCTTCCTTGACGTATTCTTCTTGTTCCAACTTGAACACGTGCTGGTTGAATTCTTGTTGCAACTTTTCGTTGGCGTAGTTGATGCAAAATTGTTCGAACGAGTTCTTTTCAAAGTGTTCGAACCCGTAGATATCCAACACCCCGATGAACAGCTTCGTCTTTTCCGCCACTTCCGGAGGACACAAGTCGGAGTTGACATAGTCCACTAACCAGTCGAACAACGCCGAGTAGATGAACTTAGCGAACGAGTCACGGGCCACGATCGCCGAGGCGTGGTTCAAGTTGGAAATGATCTTTTCCGAACGGGTGGTGATTTGCTTCTTCACCGTCCACTTGGCAAAGTTGACGGGGTCGATACCCAACAATTCACACGCCTTGACCAACGCCGGTTCTTCCAGCGACAAGTGGGCGTCGTTCTTGGTCTTGGCGATGTCGATGTTACCAATGTACAACAAACCAGCTAACAATTGGAAGATCTGCTGCTGCATCGCCTCGCTGATGCCAATCATGCCGAGAGCCTCGCAAGTAGCGGCGAAGTCGGCGGCGTCGTCAACGCCTTCGATGACGGGTACGCCGCCCTGATTAGTGTACTTGAAGTCGGCGGCTTCGGTGAGGCCGAACTTTTCCCGCATTTCCGGGGTGGCCCCGGCCAACAACTGGTAGAAGATGTGGTAATTTCGTTCGGTTTCCGGTTGGAACACCAACCGCGATCTTTCCAATAAGTAGGTGCGGATGCGAGCACCAACAATGGCGACGTCCTTGTCGAACAAGATTTCGAGGTATTTCCCGAACCGCGACGAGTTGTCGTTTCTGGTGGTCTTAGCGTTACCGAAGGCTTCCATAATCGGGTTGGTGGCGAGAATCTGCTTTTCGACGTCACTCATGTCGGTCAGCTTAGCCGCCCCCGGGGCCATATCCTCCAGAGGTTCTTCTTCGACGGTAGCGAAATAACGCATGATGTACTTAGCCGACACCGTCTTGCCGGCCCCCGACTCACCGGAGACGACGATCGTCTGGTTCTGGCCGTCGGTGCGCATACAGCGGTAGGCCTCCTCGGCGATGGCGAACAAGTGGGGGTCCTGGTCGCCGCGGCGCTGGCCGGCGTAGGTCTGGATCATGTCCTGGGTGTACAATTGGTCGACCCGCTGGAAGGGGTTGGTGGCGATAAGGACGATCCCGGAGTAGGTGTAGATGGCGAGCTGGGAGTATCTCAACTTGATCGCGTGCAACACCGCCGGCTCGTTCAAGTACAGCAACGAGGTCAAGTCCTCGGCGGCCTCCAAGATCGGCGGGTTGCGCAACGGGGGCAACTGGCCGTTGTCTTCGCTGAGATCATCCGCCTCGACGACGACATCGGCGCCCTCCGGGTCGTCTTCAGGGGCTAAGGTGATGCGCCACTTGGCGCCGTCCTTCTGTTTCAGCTTGACCACTACCCCGATCCAGCCGGCTTCGTCGTCTGGGTACCAGCACCTGGTGCCCACATCGTAGAGCGAAACCATTTGTGTGTGGGAGTATTAGGTTGAGGTGGAGGTTTTTTTCTTAGCCGAGATCAAGACACGTCTGGAGCGGGAGGCGTGCGCGTGCCAAAAACCTACGTGTCCACAAGGCGGCGCTTAGGGCTGAGAACAGCGATATAAAGAGGTGGAGGTGAGAGTAGGAGAGGTTGCGATAGGGTTGAGTATGTTTAATGATGAAGATTTTCGCTTTTATACACGGATTTTGTCCGGTGGATCTGCTGCGGCGGGTGGGAGCATTGTCCCTTGGCTGGGGGATTGGGAAAACCGCGTAGCGCGTGACAGATCAAATCAATGATTTTCACGTGGACCGCCTCCCCCAAAGGAAAGTTCTAGACCCACACAATGAAAGGTACTAACACTGAATAAATAAATTTGGTCTTGCTCTGATTCCACTCTTCCCTCCAAACACGTCTAGACTTGCTCGATACTATTGGCCTAAGCCTGGCGCATTGTTGTGTGACGCACATGACAGACACGCTTTTTGCAAATATCTGATGCACTGTTTTTTTTTTTGGCGCGTGAGTTTTTTCAAAAGCAAAAAACAGGCCTGACAGTTGGGGCTAGTGGCGCCAGGGGGACAATTACGAGTGTCACGTGAGCCTTCCCATATCTAAAAGTAAGCAGGGGGCGAATGAGATACGGTATGAAGAATTGCTATAAAATTAAAAATTACACAACTACTAGGCTCGCCGGCGGGTCAGGTAGTCGCGCGGGGACACCACCAACCCTTTACCTTTAGTGGCGCCGCGATAAATGGTCTCGATGATGTCAATCACCTCCTGTTCGTCATCGATGGGGAAATTGAGTTTGTTGTTGTCGCCGGTGCCGTAGTCGACCATCATGTGTTTGTTGCGCCAGAAGAACATGATGTTGTAAGGTTCGTTGCTGTCGTGGTCCAACTCGTACATCTGGTTAAAATCGGGCACCTCGTCGATGTTGACGAGGTAGATGACGGCGAAGTTCTTCACTCGCTCCAGGATGCGGAACAACGTCTCGTCCATCACCATGCACTGGGGCTCGTTTTCGCGGCCGAAGCGGATGACGACTATTCGGTCGTCCTCCGATAGAATCGCCTGGTCGACGTGCCACCCCGTGTGGAGGTGGTGGAGGAAGTAGCTCATGCTGTTAGGGATTTACAGTGTGCGTGCGAACTCCAGCTATAAGTAGCGGGGCGCTGAAAGCTCGGGCGAAGCCCATGCGGAAACGCTAAGCGACAGACCACCACCTTATTATGAAAAAATGAGGTTTTAAAGGGTCATTTAAATAGTCTCAGTTTTCCTTTTGGTGCGTTGTTCTGGGTAGGGTAACCGCCGCAGAAGTATACGGGAGTTTGACAGTTACCGGCGGTGCCGTTGAGCGGCGTCGAATACGGAGTTTGTGTCGGGTAGCGGAGCCTGGG